AACAAAAACTCACAATTTAACTAAATAAATTACAACCAGAGCTGCTTAAAAGCTGACAACATGAAAAACAGACGTGTATTTTTCCGTTTAATTTTTGTTGATGGGCTTATTTGTGGCACAAAGCCATGCAAACTTGGTATGAACACGATGGAGATATGTCAAGGCACATACCGATGTATGTATGTAAATGTATCGGTGTGATACCTACATACACCTATATATACTGTATATGCTATAAATGTAACTTAGTGGTGAGCTCAATAGGCAAAATTGGAAAAAATTTTTGTAACTAAAGAAAGGTTTTCAACGAATTTCAAAAATTAGTTTTTTAATTAGAGCAACTTACGAGCTTTTTCTTTGCAATGTTTAGCATGCGCATATACCAGTAAGTTGTTCCCAATCTTTTCTTCTTCAACCGCCTGGCAGCTTCTGCAGTAATCGTTCTGTGATTAGGGATCAATCGGCGGGCTTATCAAAGAGAGTGCATAAAAGAGAAAATTTGAAATGAGAGAATAACGTATTTGACTCATTTATTTCCGACAGGGCAGTACACTTTTGGTTTGGGCTTATGTATGTGTCTCTATGCCGACTTTTCTGTCGCTGGTGTTGCGGATGGTCATTTGGAGTCGAACGAGAAAAGTGTGGCGACTCCTTTCACTTTCGTTAAATAAATGTCCGCATAACCGCATGATATGCACATAACATGTTATTTTTTTTGTTATTGTTTGTTGCTATATATTTTTTCTGCACTTATTATTATGCTTTCTGTTATTGTTATTGTGTTACCTTTACAGTTGTGTTGCAGTGTTGTTGCTGTCTACTGACCATCGGCTGGCACTGCTGGTTGCTTGGCTCTGCTGGTCGCCACCGCCACTGCTGGGCATGTCTGACGTATCTGTACCATCTGTTGTACACTATCTTCAGCTACTGTTGTTGTTGTTGCTGCTGTCTTCAGTAGCTTTCGCGCTAAAACGAGAGCAGCAGCTGTCGAAGTAAGACACCAGCGGGTTTGGTGGTCGAGCACGACGACGGTTGCGGCGGCAATGACAGTGGCAGTCAAAATGGAAATTTTCGTTAGTGCTAATCAGCAAGCGTTTGAGGGCAGCAGTTGCTGTTGACTTGGATTACATTTGTTACTGTCTTGGAGTTGCTGTTGTTGTGTTAAAAAAACACTGTGTGATTCATAAGCTCTTGAGTGGCTCTCATCTCTTGTTGTTGCAGCTGCGTAGTGGCTGCTGGTTCCGTTGATATAGCTGATATTTTCTTGCTTTTGTTTTTTGTTGTAATATTCATTTTGCACCTTATGCCGCGTGGCTGTTTCAACTGACTTTGCTGGTTTTCCTAAGGCCAAAGCAAAGCGCCACACAAATTAACACAAGCTTTGTTGTTGCTGTTGTAATTGTTGCTTCTTATGTGAATTGAAGTATTTCTTTAGTTTTTTTGAGTCTTTTAATCTTTTTTTCTGCTTAATATCATAATCTCTGTCCATGACAGTGGTTTGTTTTTTCCACAAAACGGCTTTTTTCCGCGTCGGCTTTTGGGAGATTCCGTAAAAACGTTTTGCTGATTCCGAGATCAAGGCTACACCTTGAGCGTCAATGAATGCTGCGGCTTTGTGTGGTTAAGCGTTTAACTCGTTCGATTGTAAGTAAAATAAAAATAAATAGAAATTTGAATTGACTCGAATTTTCGTAAATGGAAAAATATCACATTTTTTTACTCCGTGTGTGTGTGTATGGCGTGACGCTCGTATAAAGCATCATTGTATGTGTGTGAAAATAAATTGAATTGTCGCAATGATTTCCTTACTTTACAAATATTTTTTTCTTCTTTTAAGGAAATTTCAATTTTAAAACGAGTTTGTCGCTTAAGTCTTTTGAAATGTTTACTAATGGCAACTTCTTTTGGGAAATACAAACAACCAGTAAGCCGCAAAAAACCGTAGAAACAACCAAAACAAATATTTTCAACAAATATTTTTTTGTTTCCAAGATGAATAAATTTTATTTAAAATAATCCTTACCACTTTGATACGGCCCTATCTACCTTAATTGAGATTGTGAAACGATTATTTGATGCCATTTCATTTCATAATTGAAATCGTGGTTGTCGCTAAACGAGTTGACCACCCACTGTTATCATAATTATTTTTAAAAGAACCAAGGGCTTATGAAAAATAATAAAGTAGCGGGGATAGCAATAGCAGACGTCGCATATTCAAAACTTTGTGACCTTATGAATCAGGAAGATTTGGTAGCGCTTAAAAAGCGTAGCTTCTTGGTTGTTGGAAAGCTTCTATGAAATATTCGCTAATTAATTTGGCTTATATTGCAAAATGCTAAATTATTTTAATTGAAATTTAAAACGATAAATTAGATTTGTTAATTATTTTAAAATTCTTCAAAAAACCTTTTAGCAAAAGCAACAAGTCTGAATATTAAAAGAGCTTAGCATTTAGCCAAGTCAACTAATAATTTAAATATTATACAATATTGTGCCTGTTTACATCAGAAGCAAACTTCCTTTCACATATGTAAATGTTAAACAAAATTTCGCAACGTTTCCTCGATTGTACTTAAAATCAAAATTGAGCTAAGAATCTATCGTAATTCGAAAAACAAGCACTTGGCGATGTTATGCAATATTTCCACATGCAATAGCCCCAAAACCGCCTACTACACGACAGTAAAGCTAACTAATATTTACAAAATCGAATAAATATTGCATAATAATAAATGCAAATACACACACATACACGTAAGTATTTAATTATGTGTTATGTACAAATATGTGAAAACGGCGACATCACCTTGGCGACGTCTGGTTGTGGTTCATCGATCGTTCGCGGATGATTAGGAGCTTCATAACTCATTTACTGCTACAACAACCACCGCCAAATATACGAGTATGCACACACACACAACATTTCAAAGCCAACAGCTATCATCGCACAATTAGCATAGTTACACAGATATATAAATATTCGAACAAATGATTCACTTGTCCGTTCAGCTAGAAACCCCAAAAAAGTCTTTGAAATATGAAAAAAATTGAAACAGTCTTCAACCAAAAACAAATAAAACAAAAAGGTTGACATAAAACAGAAGCAATATGCTAAAGCGGATAATCAGATTTTTTGTCTTCGATATTTTCGGTCAATATATTTGTTTTTTGCCTTTATTATTTTTTTTCTATTTCTCTTTTATTTTTCTTTTAGTTTTTTTTTTATTTTTATATTTGTAGTAATATTGAAGGCACGCTTAATTGCTGCTGTGCGACGCATCCGTTCCGATTTGTGGCATCTTGCGAGGGCTCATTAGCTATGACTTCATGTTGTACATATGTACAGACACATCTATAAATATACACATATGTGAATTTATATACTATTTCTTTGATTACGGCTGACTGCCTACTTGGACAGCTGAGTGACCAATGCAGCGCTAAAGCATCTCAGCTTCATAATTACAAGCGATGAGTGTTGAGCAACTTCAAAAAACGAAAAAACAGTAAAAAAAAAAATATTTTTTGTAACTTCAATTTTTTTACTTTGTTGAAAGCCTTAAGAGCATTATAAACAAGAAAGGCTTGAGACAATACTTTATAGACAAACGTCTGATTTTTTTTTATTTTAATTTATCTTTTTTGATTTATTCGTACACTTACGCATACTAAAGTACGTATGTACGGATGTATGTCTATGGATGCTTTGTTTGGAGGCTTAGAAGACATGAATAATTTTTTGACACGACGACTGCTACTGGAAGTGCGATTATTGAAAGCAGTGAATTAAATTCTGTCAATTTTGGGATAAATTTTGAAACAACTATAACAACAAGTAGTACTGTCCTACTATATAGTGCAGAGATGCGGGCGATGCCAACATCTGATGAGTCGACCTAGGGAGTCTTCGACATAAAAGTTTTGTGAAAGACGGCGAATACCTCAGTTCACGGAACCTTGAGTTGTAAGCCAATTGATTCGGCAATGTATTCGTTTGCGGGCGCGGTAGCCGCGTGGTTAGCATTGCGTTCTTACATTCGGAAGGCCAGGGTTCAAATCCAAAGCTATAGAGAATTTATTTAAATAATTTATTTCTGACTTGAAATACAGGCTCCTCATAGAAATTCATCAGCCGGTCGAAGGCGGCTTAGTACAAACTGTGGGTTCCTTCAAAAACCACAAATAGGAAGAGAAGCACGGCCAAAAATCGCTTTGGCGGTAAAAAAAAAGCCCCAATTATATATATATATTTAGTTTTTAGGTAACTAGGAAATTAAGTTAGCATATTTTTAATTTTTTTTAAAAGGGTTATTATCATATTTTATGTATTCCCAAATAAGGTATTAAATTTAACTGAAATACCACAATAAATCTTTTTAGTATTCAGCAGTTGTTCAGCGTAAAGATACAACACAGTTTCTTAGTCTTCATTGCTCTCCTTCGCTTCATTGCAGTGTCTTTGAGTGTGATACTCAACAGCAAAAAGTGGTTATTCACTGCGACCAACGTTTATTGTAAGCTTTCTTGGTTTTCTTTGACTTTCATATTCTTTTACCATATTCGCTCTCTTTTTTCAATTTCTTCACTTACACTTCGAGCCAAGCGAATCAAAACAAAAAGCGAAAACACAAACGACCAACTCGATGCGCCAACTACAAGTTCGCCATACAACTCGCTGCAAAACTACAAAGCGTTCAACTTCAATAATGTGGCGAGTGCTCTGCAGCTCCTCGGCTATTTCGGCTGCATTCAGACCTCTTTGAGATTTCAATACAAGAAGGTCGTTCACGATTTATCAATTTGGGGTTTTCCAACGCGTGATTATCGATTTCGTTCGCTCATTACTAGCTTTATTTTACTCTCGCCTGCTCCCGCTCTCTTGTGCTCTCATGCGCTGCGTGGCTGCGCTGTAGTTAACGCAGCACTCCAAGCGATTTGGCAATTTTGCCGTGGCCGTCGCTGTTGCCGTTCGTAGTCGCTTCTGTTTAACAGCCGCATGCGCAGCTGATGATTGAGCTGAAGCAAATTTTGGTTTTTACCGTTAGTTCAGGTCGCATTCGACTTTATTAACGTTTTTACATTCGTGGAGTACGCGCGCGAATAGCTCTTCAGCTTAACGGGGTAATGAAAACGTACTTGGTGCTGTTGAATTTTGAAAATATACGGCATATAAATATATGTATGTGTGTGTTTTTGTGTGAGTGATAAAGGACCTACAATGATATATTAACGAGGTGATACAAAAGCATTGCATTGAATTAATAAGAAATACGGAATAATAATAAATAAGAGATTTAAAAAATGTATTAAAGCCAAAACAATATTTATTAAATATGAAATATTTAAGTTTCATAAAAAAATTGTTTGTTTTAATTTCTGAAATATTGTGAGCTAAGACATTTTTCTTGGCAAAAAAACTCCACTGCAGTGTTTCGTTGAAGAATAATCAAAAAAAAAAATATTAAAATCTGTGTGATTTTTTCAAACAACAATGCACCCGGAGCATTGGTTTCACCCTCCCGATTACTTCATCAACGTCAGTTTTAAGCATAAAACTTTTTTATAAAGCAAAACTTTTCGCTCCGTTTCCACAGTTGACGACGTTTGTGTTATTTTGCAGTGAAAGTGATTTGATTTGATTTCGATTCGGTTGCGTTTGTATGCGTGCGACTCTGCGCGTCGACTATTCAAGCCAACGAAAAGTAAATCCAGCAGAAACGTCAGCCAAACAAACAAATGAACGAACCGACAATTCACAGTATTGTCCCGTCTTGTTATTATTGTTGTGTTTTGTAAATTTACGACTATTACAAATTTACTGAAAATTGCGATTTTACAATACCCCTATTTTGGCACTTACGTACTTGCACATAAGTATATGTTTGTGTAACATGTTTTTTTCTCTTTCCCGACATACTTTCACGTACATACATGCGAGTATAAGAGATAAAAAATAAATGAAAATAAGATTTAAAAAATCGGAATTCAGTGTTAAAAATTTACATATATATAAAAGTGCATGTGCTAGTTTCGATCCTTTCCTTTTAATACCAATATTGCTTGTGTACGTATGTATATCTAGGTATCTGAATGAATATTGCTCATTGAAGAAAGTTGAGAAAAGTGTTGCAGCAACAATTGCAGAAACGTTGTGCAGACTTATTTTAGTGCTGCAAGTATAATTGCGGATATCGTCTGGAGTGCATACACACAACTACACTTTACTACACGCTGCTACAGAGTATTGCAGTAATAATATGTTGGGTGAGTGGCTGAGGCTTTACCACTTCAAATTGTAGTTATTTAAGAAAATTTGAATTTTATTATTAAATATATGTAATTGGAAACTCCGTGGAATGTCTTTTGTCCAAATAAACTGTGTTCTTTGCTATTTTTATATTACCCAGGCACTGGTCATCTCAAGCATAGGCAAGCAAAATTTTAAACTCTTTTTGGGTTATGGGACTAAAATTTACTTGCTGCAATCTGGCTTAGCTCGTAGAGACTTTATAGCTTTAATGACCTTATCAAATTTATGGCCTTTCATTTTAGGATTAAATATGAACTATCGTTTCTAAAACTTGATTAGAGAAGACTATGCTATGAAGTTTTCCGATTTCGGTGCTTTCGGTGTCATTGTTTTGTAAATATATACGTGTATAGAATACCACATCTCACGCTTGTGGATGTTACGGCGGAATTTTTTACCAAAACCCTCATATCTGAAAAAACTGTGTTTAGGTGCGATATGTTATGGTAGACAAAGAGGCGGTCAGAGGGTCAAGACTAAATCAATTCCTTCTTCTGACCCTTACATAATTCCCACTAAAGCTAATATACCATGAACATACATAATATTCGTGAACGATGTAAATAATGATATTTCTAATTGTGGTCTCCTCCGGCTGGTAATACGGAAAATGTAGACAGATCTTCATGGAATATCAACTAGTTGTTCCGGGTCAGTTAAAACATGAAGGAAGAAAGATCTCGGTTGAAAGGCATTTAGGTCGTTATTAAAGCACCAATAAAATATGAATAAATATACTTACGTATACAAGGGCTTAACAGAAGCTCGAAAAAAAAAGAAAAATATGTTTGTATTCATTCGAAGTCTTTGCCTTTTAGTTGATCAAGTGCTTTCTTATCTCCTCGTTGCTATTAAAGATCTTTCTTTTTAATTTTTGGAAATAACCAGATATCACAAGGTGCTATATCTGGGGAATATTATGCTGGACGTATTTCTTCGATTCCAAAGATCGCAACAAAATTACACCTTTTTTCATCAGGATGGGATGGCGCGTTGTCATAATATAAAAAGTAGCGCCGCTAGTCCTCTTTCTTCCTGTTTTTCAAGAAATTTTTGAAAACTTTTTTAGGTGTATCACTTTGCAGTTACCGTCTGACCCTTTTCCAGTAGAATCCAAGCAATTTTAGATTTTTGTTGTTTAGATTTTACGGGCGAGTTTGCTCCTATTGGGCTCCATACCATAAATTTCTGTTTGGTTTCTGATTCATACTGATGGAAACAAGATTCCTTGCCAATAACGACTTCCCTAAAATTGCTAGACTGAGCATTTTCAAATTTGTTTAGAAAGAATTTAACAAAATCCAATTGAGCCTCTTTTTAGGCCAGATTAAATTTCATGGTACCCTTCGAGAAGATTTCTTCGTGTATCCTAAACGATTAGATATTATTCGTCATACAGCCATGGCATTCAAGTCCAATTCAAAGTGATTCGAGAAAAATTGCACATCTCCTCAAGGATCGCAAGGACCGTCCATGGATCCTTTTTTGTGAGGGGTGTACCTAAACTACTACTCCAATAATAGCTACGCAATTTGCTGTTGTAGTTGGAGAGGATCTTAAAAACAGTTGTGATATCTAACATCTACTCCACAACACCAAGAAAGATTATGTTTGCCACCATCGCCACTTCTAAGAAATATAGCAAATTTGAGAGCATCACGACGTTCACAGAGCATTCAGTATCATTCACACATTTCTTTCGCTTATATGTATTATAGCATAGTAGAATTATTAGTATAAACAAATTCATTCCGCTTTCGTGTAATTACTCTTTTTGTTGATCTGAGTAATTCAAATCAGCGCAATCCATTAAATATTTCATCACAGTCCCATCAGTTGAAGATGATAAATGATCCGCTGAGGTAACTCCTTAATGATGGGCACTCAAATGAGGAGCATTTGTGTGGTGAAATAATATGCAAGAAACTTGAATAAAGAATTAGACAAGCAAAAACGATTGCAAAAGAGGCGTGAAAATTATAGTAAAATTATCCAACTCGCTCTTGCAGAGTAACAAAAAATGATAATGACAATCACATAATTTCTGCTGCCTGCTACTTCTTCTCCTCCTTCTTCTCCTCCTTCTGCTTCTTCTTCTTCTTCTTCAACAAAAGTGTCTCAAGTGTTAAATTAAAATATTTTATGTGAAAACTTATGCATTAAACGTAAACAGCCCAAGCAAACACAACACAAAAGGGGAGTATTAACAAAACTTAATGGTGACAATTAGTTCGGCGGTAAACAGAAGATGAAAAAGAAGCTCACACAAGTATGCGAGAATGGCTTGCGCATGCGTTAATGTCCCAAGCAGGCAGAAAAAAGTAAATTATGACGTCACGCAAGTGCATGAAACATGTCCAGTTGCACATAGGTAATAAGTTCAGGTTGCAGGAAAAATAACTCGGTGTGTGTGTGCATGTGTTGACGAGTGTTTATTTATAAACTTAACTCCACAAACAACAATGACCGAGCGTAACCACAGCGACCTCAAAAAACGCATTTTTGGCATTTTTATTTTACTCAAGCAACGCGAACGTAACTTCCTTACATAATTTTTACAAAATGCCCTTTTACATACAACCACACAATAACAAAATGGGGCTTACGAAAGAGAAGTCGACATTTAACAGTTAAGCACTGAAAATGGATTAAAAAACAGAAAAACCAGTCAAGCCGATGTTACAGCAGTCGCAAGGCATTCACGTGGCAGCTGCTGCTGGTTCGACTTCGAAAAAGGACCAATGAGTCAAGTGCAAATGCGGAAATGCGTGAAACGTAACTAGAGCGCTACCGAAAAAGAGAAATAAAATTAAATTAATTATGCACTGTTCGCTCCTCCCTTGCAGACAGAAGCTAGTTGGCCTTAAATAATTTCAAGCCAAGTGATGACTGCATAGCAGAAGAAGTGGCTAATATAAGTAAATAAAAGTACTGCACTCTAGTATACATACTTGTAAACATACGAATGTGAATAAGAGACAGAAAGAAATAGAGATTTGTTGTATAAGAAAAATAAAATAAAATGAAATTTTGGCAATATGACACGCTCTGCGCATCCGGGCCATCCTCGCTGCGCTTTACGTCATGGTTTTAAAAAGAGATCAACGCTTGTGTGTGTACGTATATTCACATATATACATATGTTTATGTTGCCACTTCATTCAAGTGTATGCTATTTTACGGTGTTTTTAAACACTTTCTTGTTTTTATTTACCAATTTTGTTATATTGACATAAATTTTGGCATTCCTTTTCCTTCGGTTTCCTTATATTTCTTTGGTATTTGTGCGCTTCCTCGTATATGAAAAATTTGTATAGGCTTTTTGACCTCTTTTGGATTTTTTACCGTATTTTATTTGCACCGTCTTTTGTTTTTGTTTTGTTGCATAAGTGGAGAAATTTTTGCACAATATTGACGTTCACCTTGGACCAAATAAACAAAACGGGAATGGATATTTTTGGATAATTAATGAAAAAGAGAGATGAGTAGGTATATAAAGAAAAAAAATTTAAATAAAATCATCTCATTTGCTCTAAAGTAATTTGGAATTTGTTAAACATTTTTAATACTTTTCTTTGATATGGATTTTGAACTGTAAATTTTTTGTTTGTCTTTTCAAAGAAAAAACTGAAGTTTGTAACTAATATTTTTCTATGCTTTTTTCATTTCTTTGCAAACGCCTAAGTTCCTTTCACAAAATTATTTTTCAAGCAAAACAAAACAAGAAAATAATTTTTTATGAGTCAACTGAGGACTGAGAACTGAGAACTGAATATTATCATTCAAAAATGGCGATATATTGTTTTGCTTAATATTAAATATGAAAAAAAAATTTTATTATCTAAAAATATATATAAAATATAATATATATATATATATATTTGACCATTCAGCGTTGTGCACTGCACATCTAGTTTTCACTAAAAATTTAATCGATTTGCAGTTCTTCAGTCATCTCCGAATTGCGCTTCCCGCCAACGGCGATGATTATGAGGATTTGAATGCATGCACTGCTAACCGTTTGACTTTAACAGCCGCCAAAATATTATTATTTATACTAAATGTGAGAAGCTACACAAACTCATATCACACTACTTCTTCCATCGAATGACCCCAAAGAAAATATGAAATTTCATGCATCGTCGAACAATGTCACCATGAACGTGGCATTCCGTGGCAGTCGGTTAATCAAGTTTTATTAAGAAATGTCCAGGCAGTGAACCAGAACTAGCGACTAATGTATGCATGCACATTTGTTTGAATGAACAATGAATTTTGTGCGATAGAAAATTTATTTGTTTCCTTATCAGGTGTTTTATAGTTTGGTTTACATTTGGAATATATGTATAATGGTAATCGAAAGATCAGTATTTACGCATATTCTCCATAATTGGTACGAGTTCCCTTTGCAGCGAGTTTGCCGCTTAAGTCTTTTGTTAAGCATACCTTCCCACATTCAACCCAATTTCATAAACTTGCGTACAATACTACCGAAAGCTTCTGCTATGCACATATATGCATATATCATTCCTCGCATTTATTCCCCTTTTTTTACGAACTTTTTTTACCCAAATACATATATGCAGCTAAACAGCTAAATAGCAACAAAAACACCCATAACTACAACTCCGATCATTTATTACAATTATTATTATTTATAGCGCGTTATTGCGCGATTACTGTTATCTAATATTGTGTACAACACACAACAATAGCAACAAAAAGGAAAATAACTAAATTTTATGAAGGCAAAAAGTAAACATTAGCAAAAATGAAGACACCGCAAAGCGAATCGAAATTGGGTTAACTTACAACAACGCAAATACAATACGAACACAAACACCGACGACTACAAATACAGCAAACAAAGTGAAGTTGATTGCATATGATGAATATATTGTACGTGTGTGTATGCAATAAAACACCTATACTAACACGCTTATATAATCAACAT